TATCATTCTACTTTTTCTGTGTTGTGCGCATAGCACGGAAGGAGTGTTAGGTCTTTTGTTAAACTTAATTAAATTAATTAAATAAGGACAAACTAATTACGGGACAGAGTCATTTGACAAAACTTATTTCCAGCTAGGGGTGTCCATTTGGGTTCGGTTTTTCGGGTTTACCCGAAACCGACCTGATTATATACATTTTCGGTTTTTCAGGTTCGGGTTCATTTCGGGTTTCAGGTTTTTCGGTTTCGGGTTCGGTTTTGCTTATCGGTTTTCAGGTTCCGGCTAAAAACCTCCAATGAATAGAACTCAGCCCGTATTTTTAGGTGTTCGGGTTTTCGGGTTTCGGTTTTTCTTTAACCGAACCCGAACCCGATAAAGAATTTTCGGGTTTCGGGTAACCGGAACCCGCAAGTCCTTATCGGGTTCGGGTTCGGTTTTAGTGTTTTTCGGTTTTGGGTTTTCGAGTTTTGGTTTGGTAACCGAACCCGTCCCGAACTGACACCCCTATTTCCAGCTACTTATTTCCAACAAGCATCCGAAACATATTATCAAGTTGTCAACTGGTCTAGGCCGTTTGGCATGATTGAGTAAATGAATTGAGGGTTAATGGTTTGATCGATTTAATTCAATTTATCTAAGTATATGAAAATATCATTAAATTGTTTATACATTTATAAAATATATCAATCTTATCTAACATACGATTAATAACATATAAGATTACACCAAAATAACAGTTCGTAATTGAATCCAATATTAGTGAAAAGTCGCACAATCATATAACATTAATATTCGAATGTTCAACATAGAATTTATAAAGATAGGTTTAGGTGAAGGTGAAAAAATGAAAAGAGGCGCATTTCACAAATCAAAGGAAAAAACAACGAAGTATGACTTCCAACTCGAGAATCTTGCTACGTGTCTACCCGCATGTGTGTGACGCCCGTTTTCTCACCGGATCAAGGTCAAAATGAATCAACTAGCAGGTCGATCCATACAACCTTCCATATTAGTAGAAGAGGTGCTAGGGATGGCAGTAGAACCTGAATCCACGGGTACCCTACCCGCCCCGACCTGGTCAACGCGGGTAAAACCCGCTTTGACGGATTGTGGATCGGGTTAGGGTTTACACCCGCTATACTTTTTTAGGGTTGGGTTGGGTTTGGGTTTAGCCATATCCAACCCGCGGATACCCACACCCAAGTCCATACCCCCCACGACACACGAAACCCTTAACAAATTAACTATAATTTCTAAACTAATTCCTCGCAGGTTCAATTAATCATATTATTTGTGAATGTTTATCTTTAATATCTAATAATTAGTTGCATTTTTGTACATGAACCCATGGGTACCCATGAACCCGCGGATACACAACGAGTTGAATTGAGTTTGAGTTTTTCAAATCCAGTTGGTTTTATCCCAAATATTTTTGCTGGAAAAGCCATAGGTTTGGGTTTGGCATAACCCGCCCAATCCCGACCCATTGCCATCCCTCAGAGGTGCTCCCAAGCATATAATTCACGTGTATAAATAAAAAGAAAACTTTAAACCGAATCCACTCCTTTTTTCACTTTTTAGTTAATCAAAATAAATTTGTTTTAATTTAAATATTAAATTTTTGAATAAGAATTAAATTAAATATACTCTGTAAAATGATATTCATGTAGACATATTTTGGATTAAAAAAGCCTTGGTTTAGGATACAAAACCTGGCCAATAGTTTTGTAGTTCTATAAAACCTAATCTAATGGTTGTAATTTGGGAAGATAAGATCTAATATTCCATATCATAAAGGGTATTCACAGGTGGCTGTTAAGTTCATTTTCAAATCTCCTAAGAAAATTAACGGACCATAACGCATTCATTTTACATCGAATTAAAAAAATTACATAGGAAATTCACATTTTTGTGCTCTACAAAATGGTATCCATTTTGATATTTTTGGAGCAAAAGTTTTTCACACCATCATATCATGATATTACCATTGAGAGTGGTATGATATCACATTGATACGAAGTTGATAGAATATTGATATCATAGTGATATGATTTTGGTATAAGTTCTTATGTTTGTTAAAATAATTTGATAATATCTTATCAATGTCATATCACGATATTATCACTATCATATGGTGATAATATTATGATATGAAACTGGTATGATTTTGATATGAGGTCTTATGTTCGACAAAATATAACAAAATATAATTTTGTAGATATGATGTTGATATAATGTATTAAATTTAACAAAATAATTTGATGACATCATTTCACTGTCATATCATGATATTATCACTATGGTATGATGATAATATCATGATATGACAATGATATGATGTTGGTATGAGGTCTTATGTTTGACAAAATATAACAAAATGTATAGATCTTAATGAATGCATTATTTCTATAATTTTTTTAATTCTGAGTTGAAATGAAGGAGATGGATCATCATATCAATGTTATATCATTATGATATGATAGATATGACAGTAATAATACTACAATCGACACATGTTTTGAAGAGTTAATTTTTTTCCTTTGCTCAAAATATAGCAAAATGGATATCATTGTGTAAATCATAATTAATATATTTTTTCTATGCAAAAAATTTAAATTATGAGTTAAAATGAACGTTGTAGGATCCAATTTAGAAAAAATGAAAATTAGGAAAAGTAGACATTGGCTGACCAGCTGTCTTTTCTCTCTCTAGTGGATCCGTGTCAGGCCAAACAAAAAAAGGTAGGATGCTGGAATTACCGGTCCACTGCCTTTTTTCTCTCTTTCTGTTGCAAACTTATCTGAACCATTTAATGGAGGAACGGATGGAGGGTGAAAAATAGAAAAAATAGTAGTGATCATAGCAATAGGCATCGAAGAAAGAATGCATTGACCGATTCCCAACTATTAGATAGAATGTTGTGTTTTGGTCGTCTTCAAAATCTATTATGGAAAATGAAGCAATATACACAGCTTTTAGATTCAAACAATATATTAATTGTTAAATTACTGTATGATACCTGTAATTGACATTCAGGTTATGAAAATCTTGAATTATTACCATATATACATATACGTTTTTATAATATGGATAAGATGACTTGATTGGTTGGATCCCAATCCGACCATGAATTTCAAACCATTTGCTTGACTAGCTCAACAGTTTAAACCACCTTGAGACCTTGATTTGAACCATATGATAACATTAACAATGCGTTATAGACAGATCCTATCACTTATTTATATTAATAAGAAAATATTAACGGTAACATATTTACCAAGATTATCTAACTTTTAAGAGAATGTGTTAGAAGTCAGGAATTATTAACTAAAATACCATGTCAAGGATGGAACCTTGATGATGTGTCAATTGCTATGAATTCGGACAAACAAAATTTATCTAGAGATCAAACATTTTCGGTGAGAAATTCAATGATATACTGAGGGGTCAATAAGTATTGTTTGAGAGTTATTCCTAATTTTGAGAATAATTAGCTAACGTATATTGTATAAGATAATAAATTTATATATCATGGTTGAATAATTGAGGCATAATGTCTTCCATCGAGAGTTTACCAATCTCCACGCTGGGAATGAGTCAACATTATATAATTGAGAAATCATTATATATGCCAAAATATTTCAACATAGGCTTATGGGAGACATATCGAAATGTCAATAATTAGTTATTTAACATCTTAACTTAGAAATATGTATTGTTTATGACAATGGTCTAAATCATTGATTGATTGTTGACTACAGATATTTAATCGTAGGATGTTACAACAAAAAAAAATCATTTCGGAGATCGAAAATAGTAAGATATAAGGATAAGTTGATTTTACATAAAATACAATTGGTCCTACCAATAGGTGGTTTTAGGCTTTGAATAAATATACTTCATAGAGTATTGAAATGCAAGGGAAGAAGGAAGAGGCAATTGATAATGCATATAAATGTCTCATAGAGATGAAGACGGAATTATTGGTGGAGAAGATAATGTTGTTCATGAGTCATGACGGAGAAAATGCAAACAAGTAAAAAAAAACATGTATTAATCTCTAACGACGAGAAGTAAAGAGAAGATTGATTTGAGAATGTCTTTATGAGTCATTAAAATATCGAAGAACATGTGATTGTTGATCTTTATGAATTGTTGAAGTATTTTAATAGTTTCAATTTTCTTATTTTGCCAATCAATTTAATGTTTTGAGTATTTTACTAATTCAGATTTTATTATACTACAAAACAAATGTGTAACTCGAATTTTTTTTGCTAATATTGTTTATGTGATTGGCGATGGAATCCAACCAACTGGTCAGGCCAACAACTAGTACCTTCTAAAATTTTGCCTAAAACTAATTGAGGAAAGAAAGACAACTACACATACTGGAAAATCGAATCTTCTTTAACTGGAATTCTAATTTCTTCTTCTTTCTTTTGCTTTGCCGTTTCAGAATCTGTGCAGCCTACAAGTGTCGATCAACCAGGAATTAACCTGTCTGGCTCCCAACTGCTAAGAAACTTGACCTGACCGCTTCCATCTGGCAAATTCATTACCACCACAACATTATCAAACCAGTCAATGGCCCAACAATGTTAACGTCATTCACCAACAATAATATTATATTATAATTTTCTACAGAAATAAAAAATGTTATAATATTAATCACACTATGAGCCACTATCTAAAACGTCAAAGATGTTCCCGAGAACGTGCCTAACCGCATTGAAGAGTTTTGCAGATCTAAAAATCTTTGTCCTTGTGTCATTATGTCAAGCCACAAAGTAGAAAGATTGACAACTCTTGTAGAAACATGACGTTAAGGTGTACTGTAATAACCCAACCCATGCTAGTAACGTGAATGGATGGGGAATTTATGAGGGATGGAGTGGGACAGTAGAGGAGCGTCGGTGCTCCCTCAATTATATGAATTGCTCCCTCCCGTCCATAAATCACTCGCTCTACTTCCTCCGGCCGAGTAAAAGAACCCCAGTATACTTCATATCACTACTTCTCCCTCACAATTCTCATCTCGTACCTCCCTCTCCATCAACCTTGTCCATCATCGCATCACACAAACCACCACCGATCTGACCCTCCAATCACCACAACTATTATACCACTCCTTGCTCTCGATCCAAGTAGACGAACACCTGGAAACTACAACCAACGACGACACTCAAGTCGCCAACACGCACGCCGAAAACCACGTTAAAGTTGCCGATCCTTTCCCCCGTAGGACGTCGCCGCTCCTCACGACCCTAGTTCATCGTCTCACATCCACTAGGTAAGGATCACGAAACCATCTCAGTTCTAAAATCAAATCCATCAATAGCTAACCAACTCGATGGTTGTGAACCGTAGTCTTGATGGCGACGGCGAGGACGGAAATCTCCGGGTGATAGAACGACGATTAAATCAAGGAAACAACGACTCTAGCGACTCAAATCTAGATCTAGGCACGCATACGAGGTAAGAAAACCCAACTCCTCGCATTAAAATTTCATGATTATGCGAGTAATACGAGCTTGTCCAAATCTGGGAAATTAGCGACGGAAATTACAGGCTTTTAGCAACAAAACAGCCGCCGTGACTATAGTCTGGCCAACCAGTGTCAGTGACATCCCTTTTAGGGACGAGATTCATAGTTTTTAGTGACTGTTTTGGCGGCGGTAGCTAAATGAGCTGTAGAGTAATTTACATTTTAATTCAATTGGATTTAATTGTAAATGATTTACTAGTTATCTTACTAATGGACGTATTGGGATGTTAAAGTATTTTAGTAACTAATAAAAGGAGTTAGTTTGATTAATTATATGTTTGATCCCATAATATGATTAACGTTGTTGTTAAATGATTCTCTTAGGAAATTAATAGGTTAAGATGATTTAAGTTATCAGTTAGCAAAATATAAGCTTTGATAGGTTAGATATTATGACGAGTTAAATTAGAACGATTTAAGATGATAATGAATTGTATAAGGGAGTTATGATAATATGAGTAATGTTGCTAGCACGTGATGAATGAATTAATAGGATTAGTTAATGGGTAAATAATGTGTTATCTAGTTTGATAAATTGATTAGTATAATCTGGAGTTAACCTGCGTAGGTTTACTGTAGCACAATTAGTTTTCAATGATTAAGATTGATTAAGACCTTAATTATTATATGTAAAGAATTATGATTCTAATATGTTAGATTAATTGGTACATTAGTATACCATACTTTGCACATCTTGCAAAGTATTCCCTAGTTGAGAAAGCCGTCGCTAAGAACCCAAAACTCAACCAATCTAACTTTGAATTTCACCATAGGGTCAAGAGGAATCAACCAAGTCAAGGGCCCCAACCTTCACGTTATAACTTCTTGAATTAATAAGGTGCGTGGTTTGAGGGGCTAGTTAGTATTTCGCTTTAATTTATCTAATTATGTTATTTAATTAAGTTATGCTCTATATGTATGTCCACGGTAAGTGTATTTATGTTAGTAAGCATGTCATTGCATTCCATCATGAAGTTATGTTTTGAGCAAGATTATGGACTTACGTTCCATGTTACCAAGTTATCAAGTAAGAACATGTTTTTAACTACTCACTTGACTAGTGCACGCGGCTACCCTACTTCCCGTCAGGTGGAAGTCAAGTTCAGGATTATGTTACTTCCCGCCAGGTGGAAGTTAACATTCATGTTGTAATTGTGTTACTTCCCGTCAGGTGGAAGTTACACCCATGTTATATCTTCCCATCAGGTGGAAGTTTACGTTTGGTGGCCGTTAGTGTGCTAGTTGAGTAGAGTTCGGGGCCCCCTTTCACAACGAGTAATAAGAATGCTAAATTTAAGCATGAAGCATTGCATGAGTATATTTATTTATTTCAGTGTTGCTGTTAAGAGTTTTCAACATTAAAGCGAAACTAGGATTAGGACTGACCCCAACGCCCGCACTCAGGAGCTGCAGGAAACCAGGAGCACCCAGATCAATCGCAGGGACATAGCTGTTGCCCAAGATGTCATCACAAGGGTTAGTGGCCCGAAGAGCTTCCAGCGGAACTTGTTTAAGTTTATGCATTGTTGGTGGACTTGAGACTTAATGAGGATTATGTTTGAATACTATTTTAAGATGGATTTTTCCTTGTATTTTGGAATGATGTTTATGGGACTTTTATGCATTTATTATTCGACTAATAACAAGGGTATTTTGGTAAAATTAGTCACCGGCCGGTTTAGGGTGTTACATTTTGGTATCAGAGCCGGTTTCTCTCTGTCTCACTATTAAGTGAGATACTGGGAAGTCGGTCTGTATGTTTTCAATCGAGTTTTAAAGGTTTTAACAAATTGCAATAAGATTTTCAAGAAAAATCAAATCGATTTCTTTAAAGCATTAAGTCTCGTCCACTAATAAGTTGGAACGCTTCGGAAGTTCTAATACAAGGTCTTATTCCACTGCAGAAGCCAAAGTGTTGGTAACCCTCAAGCCATGCCACCTGCTCAACGTCCCGTCCCTAATTATGCTGCACTGAGGAAGATGGGTGTGGTTGACTTCGAAGGATCCTCCAATCCTGAAGTGGTGGACGCATGGCTGGTGAAGCTCACTCGCACCCTTGATGAGCTGCGTATCGATAACCATGAGGATCGTATTGCCATGGCAGTGCACGTACTGCAGGGTACAGCAAGGGACTGGTGGCACACCCAACCGGAAAGTGAAGAGGTGCCTCTAACTATTACCTGGGACCAGTTTCTGAAACTGTTTCGTGATGAGTACATTCCAGACACTGTTCGAGAGGGGAAGAAGGAAGAATTTATGTCCCTACGACAGCAGTGGGGACAATCTGTTGCGGAGTATACAGAGTGCTTCAAGAAACTGCTAAGATATGCTGATCCCGCATACAGGACGGCGGAGGGACAACGTGACCGATATGTCATGGGGTTAAGAGCAGATTTGAAGAGGAGCATGGGAGAAGCTGAGAGGGCAACAAAAGCATCCGCGTATCGGGCTGCACTCCGTATAGAAAAGGACGAGAAGATTGCCCAACAGGAGAGGACTGCCAGGTTTGAGACTAAGAAGAGGAAGGCGCCCACTAACACGGGGGGCCAAACCCACTCCGCCAACCATTTCAAGAGGGGTTCTGGTTCCATCACTCAACATCAGACACAGAGCCAGGCGGGCTCCAGCAGGAGTGCACCAACACATCAAACATATCCAATTTGTCAGAAGTGTGAAAAGCGCCATCTAGGCGAGTGTAGACGTCCTCTGGGTCTATGCTTCCATTGTGGAGAGCCGGGCCACATTAAACCACAGTGCCCACAACTCATTAGCCAGCCCAGGATGAACTATGAGCCCTCGATCATTGGAGGTAGGCCACATTCAGGCGGGAGGCTCGGTGGCAGGACTAGCAATCTCAGCAACAACAACAACAACTATAATAGCCGTCGTGACGAGAGCCAGATGTCCAGGGCAGGCGGTCAACCCAGAATCTTTGCCATGAGGAGAGAAGAGGCCAATGCCGCCCCAGAGGTGGTGACTGGTACGGTTTATATACATGATCGCCCTGCCTTTGCTTTGATAGATCCTGGTTCTACGCATTCGTTCATATCTACTGCTTTTGCTAGAGTCTTAGGCATGGTACCTATGAACCTCCGCCAGAATTTGGGGGTGCGTACACCTGTAGGTGATACATTGATAGTTAATTCTATAGTCAGAGGGTGCATAATAGTGGTCGCTGGGTATGAACTCGAAGGGAATCTTATGCTGCTTCCTTTCAACGAATTTGACACCATCTTGGGAATGGATTGGCTATCCAAGCATAGGGCGTTGGTGGATTGTTTCAACAAGGAGGTTCGGTTTGACATAGAAGGAAGAGGAATGGCGGTGTTCAAGGGGATGCGCAGGGCCATTCCAGGAAGTTTGATATCCGCAACCACAGCATTCGCACTAATACAAGATGGTTGTGAAGCTTATCTTGCCCATGTTACTACGACACCAGAAATGAAGCTTGAAGAGGTGGACATCGTGAAAGAATTCCCGGACGTGTTTCCAGAAGACCTCCCCGGGTTACCCCCAAGAAGAGAGATTGAGTTTGACATTGAAGTTATTCCGGGTACTGCACCAATTTCGATACCACCGTACCGGATGGCACCAGTGGAACTCAAGGAACTGAAGGAACAATTGCAAGAGCTACTAGACAAAGGTTTCATCCGACCTAGTATCTCTCCGTGGGGAGCCCCAGTATTATTCGTGAAGAAGAAGGATGGAAGTATGCGGATGTGTATTGATTACAGGAGGTTGAATAAGGCAACAGTGAAGAACCGATATCCACTACCAAGGATAGACGACTTATTTGATCAACTTCAGGGTGCCTCTGTGTTCTCTAAGATTGATCTAAGGTCTGGGTATCACCAGTTGCGAGTTGGTGAATCCTCTATTCCAAAGACCGCTTTTCGTACTCGATATGGTCACTATGAATTCTTGGTGATGCCTTTTGGGTTGACCAATGCACCAGCAGCATTTATGGCGCTAATGAACAACATATTCCACGAGTATTTGGATAAGTTTGTCATCGTATTCATTGATGACATTCTCATATACTCGAAGAACTACGAGGAGCACAAAGAACACTTGAGGATCACATTAGAGATACTGAGGGAAAAGAAACTGTATGCAAAGTTCTCTAAATGTGAATTTTGGCTAAAAGAAGTGCTATTTTTGGGCCATGTGGTTTCTGGAAGAGGAGTTGAAGTAGACCCAAAGAAAATTGAGGCAGTGGTCAATTGGGCACCTCCGAAAAGTGTTCCAGAATTGAGAAGTTTTCTTGGCATGGCTGGGTACTATAGAAGGTTTGTAGAGGGTTTCTCTCGCATTGCAAGACCTTTGACCCAACTATTGCGCAAGGGAGTGACTTATGTCTGGAGTGAAGAATGCCATGAAGCATTTGAGGAGCTTAAGAAGAAGCTCACTACTGCACCAGTACTCACACTACCATCAAACGACGGAGAGTATGCCATTTATAGTGACGCATCATACAAGGGGTTGGGATGTGTTCTTATGCAGAATCAAAAGGTGGTTGCTTATGCCTCAAGGCAATTACGACCACACGAGGTGAACTACCCAACCCATGATCTAGAGTTAGCTGCAGTGGTGTTTGCTCTAAAACTATGGAGGCACTATCTTTATGGTGAGACTTTCAAGATTTTCACAGATCACAAGAGTTTGAAACATCTCACGGATCAGAAGGAGTTGAATATGAGACAAAGAAGATGGGTGGAATTGCTGGGTGATTACGATTGTACTATCGAGTACCACCCTGGTAAAGCCAACGTGGTGGCGGATGCACTAAGCAGGAAGGAGCACGGCCCAATATCTGAGCTTGTGGCACTCAGGGCTATGAATGTGGAACTAAAACTGGAGGACGCTACTAGCATGATGGCTAATTTGAAGATTAGACCACTATTGCATGATCGAATTAAGGAGAAGCAAAAGGATGATCCAGTTTTGGTCAAGTTTATTCAAGAGGTACAAGATGGGAAGGATACTAAGTTTGAAATCATAGATGGGATGTTATTCTTCCAGGGTAGAGCTTGTGTACCTAACGTGGAGAATTTAAGGCAAGAAATCCTGGATGAAGCTCATTGTGCACCTTATTCCATGCACCCAGGATCGACCAAGATGTACCGGACTTTGCAAGAACATTTCTGGTGGCCCAATATGAAGAGGGAGGCAGCTGAGTTTGTGCACAAGTGTTTAGTTTGTCAAATGGTGAAAGCTGAGCACCAAGCTCCAGCAGGGAAGCTAAAGCCACTTGAGATACCAGAGTGGAAGTGGGAACACATCACCATGGATTTCGTCTATGGACTACCGAGGACGGAGTGGGGTAACGATGGAGTTTGGGTGATTGTAGATCGTCTCACTAAGTCAGCACACTTCATCCCCATCAAGTTCAAGCCAGGGGTGGATGCATTGGCTGACTTGTATATACAAGAGGTGGTACGACTACATGGAGTTCCTCTAACTATTGTATCAGATCGGGATCCTAGTTTCACTGGCCAATTCTGGAAGAGCCTTCACAAGGCTTTGGGAACCAAGCTCCATTTCTCAACTGCCTACCATCCTCAGACTGACGGACAGACAGAGAGGACTATACAAACGTTGGAGGATTTATTAAGGGCTTGTACACTGCAGATGAGGGGATCGTGGGACAAGTATCTCCCTTTGATGGAGTTTGCTTATAATAATCAATACCACAGCTCCCTAAAGGCGGCACCATATGAGGCCTTGTATGGGAGAAAGTGCAGATCTCCCCTATATTGGGATGAGGAAGGATTAAGGCAAATTGAGGGCCCACAACTAGTACAAGACACAGTCGACAAAATTAAGCAAATACGAGAAAACATTAAAGCTGCTCAGGATCGTCAAAAGAGCTATGCAGACAAGCCAGGAGAGGAGAGGACTCATGAAGTGGGAGATAAGGTATTCCTGAAGGTTTCTCCATGGAAAGGGGTTATGAGATTTGGAAAGAAAGGCAAGTTGAGTCCAAGGTACATTGGACCATATGAAGTATTGGAGCGAGTAGGCCCTCTGGCGTATAGGCTCGCATTACCTCCAAATTTGTCTAAGATCCACAATGTATTCCATGTTAATATGCTCAAGGGGTACCGGTCCGACCCAACCCACATCGTGGAGTTAGAAGATATCCAATTAGACAGTGATATGACCTACAATGAGATACCGGTCGGGATCATTGACCGCCAGGATAAAGAACTACGAAGGAAGAAAGTCCCTATGGTGAAGGTAGTATGGAGAAACCAAGGCACAGAGGCAGCCACTTGGGAGATTGAGGAGGATATGAGGAAGAATTATCCAGAATTGTTTCTTGATATACCCTTGTAATCACTACGACTCATATGCGGTTAGTTAATGGAATGAAGACTTGTGATAGTAAAAGTTAAGAACTTCAGTTTTCTTATGTACTCAGTGGTCTAAATTTCGGGGACGAAATTTTTGTAAGTGGGGAGTAAATGTAATAACCCAACCCATGCTAGTAACGTGAATGGATGGGGAATTTATGAGGGATGGAGTGGGACAGTAGAGGAGCGTCGGTGCTCCCTCAATTATATGAATTGCTCCCTCCCGTCCATAAATCACTCGCTCTACTTCCTCCGGCCGAGTAAAAGAACCCCAGTATACTTCATATCACTACTTCTCCCTCACAATTCTCATCTCGTACCTCCCTCTCCATCAACCTTGTCCATCATCGCATCACACAAACCACCACCGATCTGACCCTCCAATCACCACAACTATTATACCACTCCTTGCTCTCGATCCAAGTAGACGAACACCTGGAAACTACAACCAACGACGACACTCAAGTCGCCAACACGCACGCCGAAAACCACGTTAAAGTTGCCGATCCTTTCCCCCGTAGGACGTCGCCGCTCCTCACGACCCTAGTTCATCGTCTCACATCCACTAGGTAAGGATCACGAAACCATCTCAGTTCTAAAATCAAATCCATCAATAGCTAACCAACTCGATGGTTGTGAACCGTAGTCTTGATGGCGACGGCGAGGACGGAAATCTCCGGGTGATAGAACGACGATTAAATCAAGGAAACAACGACTCTAGCGACTCAAATCTAGATCTAGGCACGCATACGAGGTAAGAAAACCCAACTCCTCGCATTAAAATTTCATGATTATGCGAGTAATACGAGCTTGTCCAAATCTGGGAAATTAGCGACGGAAATTACAGGCTTTTAGCAACAAAACAGCCGCCGTGACTATAGTCTGGCCAACCAGTGTCAGTGACATCCCTTTTAGGGACGAGATTCATAGTTTTTAGTGACTGTTTTGGCGGCGGTAGCTAAATGAGCTGTAGAGTAATTTACATTTTAATTCAATTGGATTTAATTGTAAATGATTTACTAGTTATCTTACTAATGGACGTATTGGGATGTTAAAGTATTTTAGTAACTAATAAAAGGAGTTAGTTTGATTAATTATATGTTTGATCCCATAATATGATTAACGTTGTTGTTAAATGATTCTCTTAGGAAATTAATAGGTTAAGATGATTTAAGTTATCAGTTAGCAAAATATAAGCTTTGATAGGTTAGATATTATGACGAGTTAAATTAGAACGATTTAAGATGATAATGAATTGTATAAGGGAGTTATGATAATATGAGTAATGTTGCTAGCACGTGATGAATGAATTAATAGGATTAGTTAATGGGTAAATAATGTGTTATCTAGTTTGATAAATTGATTAGTATAATCTGGAGTTAACCTGCGTAGGTTTACTGTAGCACAATTAGTTTTCAATGATTAAGATTGATTAAGACCTTAATTATTATATGTAAAGAATTATGATTCTAATATGTTAGATTAATTGGTACATTAGTATACCATACTTTGCACATCTTGCAAAGTATTCCCTAGTTGAGAAAGCCGTCGCTAAGAACCCAAAACTCAACCAATCTAACTTTGAATTTCACCATAGGGTCAAGAGGAATCAACCAAGTCAAGGGCCCCAACCTTCACGTTATAACTTCTTGAATTAATAAGGTGCGTGGTTTGAGGGGCTAGTTAGTATTTCGCTTTAATTTATCTAATTATGTTATTTAATTAAGTTATGCTCTATATGTATGTCCACGGTAAGTGTATTTATGTTAGTAAGCATGTCATTGCATTCCATCATGAAGTTATGTTTTGAGCAAGATTATGGACTTACGTTCCATGTTACCAAGTTATCAAGTAAGAACATGTTTTTAACTACTCACTTGACTAGTGCACGCGGCTACCCTACTTCCCGTCAGGTGGAAGTCAAGTTCAGGATTATGTTACTTCCCGCCAGGTGGAAGTTAACATTCATGTTGTAATTGTGTTACTTCCCGTCAGGTGGAAGTTACACCCATGTTATATCTTCCCATCAGGTGGAAGTTTACGTTTGGTGGCCGTTAGTGTGCTAGTTGAGTAGAGTTCGGGGCCCCCTTTCACAACGAGTAATAAGAATGCTAAATTTAAGCATGAAGCATTGCATGAGTATATTTATTTATTTCAGTGTTGCTGTTAAGAGTTTTCAACATTAAAGCGAAACTAGGATTAGGACTGACCCCAACGCCCGCACTCAGGAGCTGCAGGAAACCAGGAGCACCCAGATCAATCGCAGGGACATAGCTGTTGCCCAAGATGTCATCACAAGGGTTAGTGGCCCGAAGAGCTTCCAGCGGAACTTGTTTAAGTTTATGCATTGTTGGTGGACTTGAGACTTAATGAGGATTATGTTTGAATACTATTTTAAGATGGATTTTTCCTTGTATTTTGGAATGATGTTTATGGGACTTTTATGCATTTATTATTCGACTAATAACAAGGGTATTTTGGTAAAATTAGTCACCGGCCGGTTTAGGGTGTTACAGTGTACAATGAAAAAAAAAAAAAAACAATGTTTGTCCCAATAAAAGGAATGAAAGAATTTTGACACAACAATATCTACTGTGTTTTCTGCATCACCAAACACAATCGATAATTGTACAATCGTATCGAAATTTATAATGGAAAATTCAATGATAAAGTATTTAATATTTTGAATTTTTGATTTAGTCGTGGTTCAGCTATTTGATACTGCTAAAAATCAACCCCCTGATTTAACCTCGGATAGAAGATTTCCTGGTCGGATTGTTAGTGGGGTACGATTTTACAAACAACAATTAGAATACATTTTCTGTTGCACAACCAATTTTATGCAATCATGCTTCCACAAAATAAAAATGAAAATGATGCAAGTGAGAATCTAGATCTGAGCGCAAGGGAAAAAACATTGCACAAAAAAAAACCCTGATGAGAGGCGCTCTCTCCTCTCTCATCAAAGCTTGCTGGGCGATTGCCCTCCGACCTCTCTTCGATCAGTGTCGATTGGCCGACCAAGTCCTTTCCCTCATTTTCCCCAAGATGATTGCAGTTTCCCTGGCTAATCAGGGAATGAAGGGAACTCGATGGAAGCTGTTTCCGCTGCAAGCAGACACTGTCCGATGTGAGTTGCTGCCCCGGTCTTTGAACGAGGATAGGAAACGACAAGACGGCCGGAAAAAAGATCCCCGGCAAACTTTGCGTTCCTGCTGCTATCCCGATCATGGGTTCCTTAAACGCAAAATCGATACCTCCTCTCTACAGGAAATTAATTTTGATGGTCCCAAGCAAAAACGCTTGCGAAAATTAAAAAATCCGACGTGGCGATTCCATTTGTCGTCGTCCACCGATTTGGAGTATGAGGAAGGGGAAGCTCTTGCTCCCCTGTCTTTCTCGGTGAATAAATAAGAAAAGAGTGAAAACGGCCGCGACGCCCGAGACGACTCGAACAAGACAGACCTTAGACCCCGATCTGGGGCAAGGTCTCCCGACCAGCCAGACCTTAGATCCCGTTCTGGGGCAAGGTCTCCCGACCAGCTTCGAGAAAATGCAGTGACCGGACGACCTCCTATCAACCGGCCGACGCTGTTCTGCCGTCCGAGGCCGATTCGGGTTCTTCCGAAAGCGTGTGATCCTCCAAATAAGCCGAAAATCGGGGGGATTTCTCAATCGCGGGTATTGCGCCCTGGCTATGCGAATTTCCCTACTCTAACTGCCCGTGAACGCTTTGGAAAATCCGATAGTATCTATCTCAAATCTCCTAGAGTCCTACTTGCAGGAGTCTTTGGGACGAAATGGGCCAATAAGAATAACGTCCTTTGAGAGTTCGAGATGTAGGAGCGAGTTGGGCTCCTATGGCTCTGCCTCCCCTTTAAATTGCTCGCACATTCCAGTAAAGCTCACTCATATTCACCGAGAGAAGCATCTGGTAGGGCAAAGCAGGGCATCCATTCCACGGCAACAGGCGCTCTACTCTGGTACGTGGGAGAACTCCCTAACGGAGACTTCTCTGCTGATCTGGCGGCAAAGGTCCCCTATTCGCAGGATCCCTTTCGCTGTCTCCTGTTTCCCCTGGTCGGTTTTTGGGTTCTTGGAAACTGATAGGTCGGGCAGTAACGTTGTTAATTTGCTTGTTGTGCAGATAAGCAGTATGGCAAGCATCACCGACGATCAGGTTGTTCAGTTCTCCCTTGATGCAGTCTAATCGGACATAATCCGTAGTTCCAGGACTCTCATTGGCCGCCTGTTTAAGGATAGCAGGACCTCGGTTGCCGAATTACGCGAGTCAATCAATAAGCCATGGCAAGGCCAAGGCCGCATCAAAGTGAGGCTGATTGCTCACAACCTCTTCGAGTTTGTGCTGCCTAATGAAATAACCAAACAGTGGGTGCTCAAACAATCACCTTGGGTTATTTTGGATAAAATCTTACACCTCCGTCCTTGGGTTCCCAATATCACACAGCGTACCTTTGATGAGCTTGCTATTGCGCCTTTTCGGGTTCAGTTGTGGGATGTCCAGGAGGAGTGCTGTACTAAGAGGTTTGGACGGACTATAGCGACTGCTACGATCGGTCGAGTATTGGAATCGGGGGTGTACTCGTGCACGGACTCGGGTCACCGGTTCATAAAGGTTAAAGCTCTCATAGACTTCTCCAAACCTCTTCGCTCCCAAGTTATGGCAACTAATAAAGAGACGGGCGATTTCTGCCAAGTTATGAGTATCTGCCAAGTTTCTGTTATAGTTGCGGCCGAGTTGGCCACTCTCGCCAAGACTTCTCCTTCGAACCTCCCACTAGAAAAGAACGGTTCGGTCACCACATGTCGACCAAGAAGTTGGGCAGGAAGGTTTTTGAGGAGGAGGAAGGCGTGCCTGCCTTTCATGGCAATCCCAAATCCGTCTGGGTGAATACGGCTGTTCAACGACGCCGAGATGCGCCAACCAGGCCACAACGACCCTTGCCGGATTTGAGCAGGAGGAAGGCTGAGGTTATTACGGCGCCTGCTGCTGAAGAATCGCGGTGGATGGGAACCTCGACCCAGCCGTTCTTGACAACTAAAGCGCGGGCGCAAACAGGGAGAAATCCAATTCGAGTCCAGATCACGAAGCCCCCGAAGATTTACTTGGGGAGACAGAGTCGGCGAGGCAAATTGAAGAAGGCTAGTGACAACATGCCTCTCGTTGTTCCGGAAACGGATGTTGAGTCACAAATGCCGAGGCGACGCCGTCTGATCTTGGAGGAAGAATCAGAAGATGACTTCCATATTCAAAAGATTCCTAGCCCAACTCTGACATACCCTTTGAGCGAGAGTATTCGACTGGCCAAGAATGCTGAGCTAACCAGTAATATTGGCGGCGCTCCATCCTCCCTGCGACACCCTGTTGCAAATAAGAAGAAGGGGGGAAAGGTGAAGGGTGACTTCTCTCCAAAAATAGCTCCGAGGAAGGCGAAGTGTAATGCCCAATAGCCACGTAAAAGAGGGCCTGTCGCCGCCACAAACAGAAGCTCCAAAGGTGAAGGGCTTCCTTGCTCTCGTCAGAAGCAACTGATGGCTGAGGTGTCGGCGGCGAATATGCCAGCTCAGGAGGAGCTCTTATGCCCCCAACCAACCAATACATATCACGAATTGGGGGAGTCGGAGGAGTCATTATCAGGAGATGATGAGCAACCCTTTGAGATTCGCCGACAAGAACTGCGAGTGAAGGGGCAGTCCAAGCGCTTGGCACAATCTTCCCGCGTTCAGCAGGTTGTGAAGGCGTTTGAGGCGTGGTTCACCATGAGTGATCCAACCGGTGAGCAAGGGTTGAACCATCCACCTACCTTGAATGGCATGGCGGCGATGAAGGAGGGCTCAATTGGAAGTGATTGTAATGACAAGAGCTTTGATGAATATGGTTCCAATTTATGTGAACCCGAGGAGGAAGGCAAGAAGCGCCGGATTGAGGAGGTTGATGGAGAAATTGCTAACTCCCCATCACCAAAAAAGTTGTTTCTGGAGGACAAAGATGATCTGGAAACGGTGGAGGTAGCCAGCCGGGAGTGGCCCCACCCAGATAAATGAGGCTTCTCGCCTGGAATGTGAGAGGAATTGGACCATCCCTCACATTCCAAACTGCTATCGGTTTAGTTCATTCCAATAAACCGGATCTTGTGTTTTTTCGGAAACACGATCGAGTCGGAGAGTAGTTGCCCGTCGTATGTGGGGCCTAGGCTTTGTTATTCCTTGCTGTTACTTTGTAGATGCGATTTACGCATCTGGTGGGTTGGTTGTTGCTTGGTCCCCGGGGATTGATGCCTCGGTGTTTTTTCATTCCAATTGCTATATTTGTGTACGTATCAATGAAAGTGATTTCTCGTATGTGGTGATTTTTGTCTATATTAGTTGTATTGAGGCGATTCATGCCTCCCAATTGAATCAACTTCGTGACATTTGTGCGGATATCCATCTTCTCTATGTGATCATAGGTGATTTTAACGCTACTCTTACTCCTGAGGAAAAAGATGGAGGGTGACTCGCTATGACACAACTCCTAACAATGGCCAAGTGTAACCAATGAAAGGGACTGCAGTATAGTGGCTCAAGTAATAAATATCGAATCCACGGGTCTCTAGAGTTACTATTACTCAGCTTCAGTTCATTATCTAGCAAACCAGATTAAGATGGAAGAACTAAAACTACTTTAGCAAACTACAGTTAAAGTTAATCTAATTACAGGTTGGGAACTCACTTAGGTATGATTCCCCCTAGCCACTAGCCAGATTAATGATCGATGATCTCTAACCTGTTTCACTTTCATTCACAATGCGAAGAATCCTTGACTAGACCTTGAGTCTCGACTAAAGGAACAAGGCCCTCTTGAGTCAATTGCCTAGAGGGACGTATCCTTCTCTAGAGCAACCGATCAAGGCATTCTGAACTAGATTCCCTCTATCGAATGAGGTTCTCAATCGATACAAAGCATTGAATCAACCCTCGACTAAAGCAATCGATCCAATACTATCAATCTATGGTGCTCTATTGACCTAATCAGATATTCGCTCTCATAGGATCAAAGCAGAATCAATAATCTCGACTAAAGCATAATTGAATCATGAAAACATGCATAGATTGAATATGAACTCAAG